GGTGGTGTTGGTGATGGTGGTGTTGGTGGTCTTGTGTGGTGTGGTGTGGTGTGGTGTGGTGTGGTGTGGTGTGGTGTGGTGTGGTGTGGTGTGGTGTGCATGGTGTTGTGTGGTGTGTAGTATCTTGTCATCGTCCCAGTATCAATCTCATTGCAATCTATATCTTGTCAGGAATGATTGTCAATGGGTTTACTTCAGTCAATTTACCCGCGTTGGAAAAGCGTTTCGAATTCACCGGCAAAGAACTGGGACTCATCGCATCGTCCAATGAAGTTTCTCAGATCATCCTAGTCGGTTTTATAAGCTATTACGGTAGTTATGGAAACAAGGTTAAATGGATTGGATACGGTTGTCTGCTTGCAGGTAAGTAAATCAGTGATCGTCCCTATTGATCTCCGTCAACTCTGATATTTTCAGTATCTCTTCCGCATAGAAGAATTACAAAAGTCGATTACTGTTACAATAAATTAATAATTATTACTGTGCGCAATTATAAAGCACGCGGGGATTGACAGAAAACTCGACAAGCGTTAAGAAGCACTCCAATCCCAGAGTAACCTATAACTTTTCATTGCACAGCAGACGTGTTTTTCTTCATCGAACACTGACCAATCAGAAAAGCCGTTCTTATGAGGTTATGAGGTGCGCGTGCTGAGTACTCTCATAAGGCACATTTTTGACCAATCAAAAAGCGAGATTTTGACAGGATTTCTCATATTTTTATATTTCAGGCATTAGCTGTATTCTATTCGACTTACCGCATCTTCTAGTTGGTCCTTACGTAATATCCAAAGGCCCCAGTAACTTTGGATCTCTCATCAAAGATGTCTGCAAAATCCACGAAAACGCCAACTCCACCATCGATCCATCTTGTTCCTCCGTCCAAGAGAATAACTGGTACTATCTGATGATATTCTCAGTGTCTCAAATCCTTATAGGCGCCGGAACATCTTCTCTGTATTCCCTTGGACCAGCGTTTGTGGACGAGAATGTTCACCCAAAGTCAGCGCCGGTTTATCTTAGTGTATGGTTTGCCGCAACCATGCTTGGTCCAGGGATAGGGTATATGGCTGGAGGTGCACTGTTGGGTATCTTTGTTGATGGAACTCCGGTACGGAATAGCGACCTGTTATAAGATAGGGTGTAAAAAGTCCGATACACACTTGTATTACAATCATAAGAGTAAATGCCCGGACACAATGCGCTACTTTTTCTTGCGACATTACAAGCAATAGACCTCTTGCATGTAGCGTCAAAGCAGCTCAATTTGGAGGACAAAAAAAATCCAATCTCCTGAGAATAATAAACCTATTGTTATGTCCTCCAAATGTAACTGCATTCCCACGTGCCGCGATGGGTTTGTTTGAGCGCGGTAATCGATCCTTTATTTATGTATTATTGGACGAGTTACGTTGCAGAAGTATTCACGCGAGCAATATTTTTTTTGCGCGCAACATCTCAGATGTAGACTCTACTTTTACAACATTTGCTGGGGTGAACAGTTGTATCGTGTGTCTGGGCCTTAAAAGACAAACCCAGACTCCTTAACGTTCTGTATTAACAGTTTGGTGATGATTATTTCCGTGCTTGAAGTGGGAACCAGGCCATGCGCGCACCTCATTGAGTTTACGTATGCATACGTAGACTCAATGAGGTGCGCGCGTGCTGCTGATGCAAACTCATGCAGCAAGTGTTAACCACCAGCAATGCGCAGACTCGCTGAATATTATCTTTGGCAGATGTGAATAAAAGACACGACTAAGTCTCATTCTCTTGAGAGGAAGATTCTTTGTTTAAGTCGTATCCATATTCAAGTGTCTTCTCGTGTGCAACCATTAAACAAAGAAATGATACTCTAGGGAATGACACGTGGTTTGAAATGGAATACATTACGCCCAAGCTTAAAGGTTTATTAGTTATAAATCTGAATGATACTCACCGTTAATGTCAAACGTTCGTCCTCCATACTAATCTCAAAGTGGTCCACCTCTTTACAGCCTGCGGGTTTAAATTTACATCCACGTGACCCCCGATGGATAGGGGCTTGGTGGATCGGCTTTCTGATTGGTGGATCCATCCTCATCATCTGCTCCATTGGCATATTGGGATACCCAAGGGAGTTACCAGGCTCCAAAGAAATGCGCAAAAAGGCAATAGCAGATGGCGATCTTCCTAAAAACGACGAGAAAATCCGAGGCAAAGTCAACGAGATCATACCAGCTTCTTTGAAGCTTTTCAAGAATCCAACTTACATGTTTAACACTCTTGGACTGTGTGTGGCGGGGCTTATAGGAGGAGGGATGTCTGGCTTCTTTACTAAGATCTTGCTCACCAAGTTCTCGATGCACCCTATGTATGCTGGCCTGATAATATCTGCAGCTTTCATCCCTGGAACTGTTGGTAAGTGAGAAGATTGCTTTACCCTTCATAACACTATCTGAGGTAGAAAGACAGAAAATTTTAATATGAATGAACTGAAGAAAGAAAAGGAAAAAAGAATCATTACTGAAGAGGTCGTGCACATACTTACCTTGCAAGTTGCGTGTAAACCTATTCAGAGAGCAGAGGCGTAGCGAGGACCCAGGGATTGGGGAGTGGGTGCTGGGTACCAAGAATAAAATTACCAAACATTTAGTGCACCCCTCTCCTCACGTGCCTCACCCTCCCCTCTCCTCAAGTGCCTCACCCTCCCCTAAGGCCCCTATGAGGTAGTGCCGGGGAAAGCTGGAGAAGCGCACTGGCGGTGATAGTCTCCAAGTTGCTTCCCTCAGTTTCATATATTCCCCCAAACCTATTATTGGTTAATCTTTGCTCGTTTCTTTTCCAGGTGGAGTGTTAGCTGGCGGATTCCTGTGTCGACGTTTCAAGCTGAAGAAATCCTGCAAGCTCTCTGCCAAATATTCTGTCATTCTAGAACTGATTTCGACCATTTTATTGGTCTATTTGTTTATTCCCGGATGTCAGACAAATGAGATGGTTGGAGTCACACAACCCTATAATACAAGGTATTTTAAGTTGAGACGCATTATACCTCTTTACCTTGAGCGTAATGTGATCCCATTTCAGACCACGTGTCATTCCCTTAGCGGCAAATAGGGAAAAACAAAGGCATCTTTATCCTCTTGCAATTTAATTGTTCCTCTAATGTTGTCCTTCATACCTGTGCCAAAGTATGTTCCAGAGATATGCAGTTGTTTTACGTTTACTATTCCCTTATTGCTTCTTGTTTTTCCTCCAGTGTTTCTTCTGAGATTTCCCTGATGAATACTTGCAACAAAGACTGCTCATGCTCTATAGCCAAAATGAATCCTGTGTGTGGTGGTGAGGGGAAGACATTCTTCTCGCCTTGTCATGCAGGATGCAAGAACCCAATAGGAAAGACGGTGAGTTGTTGTCTTGCCTGGTGCAGGGCAGTAGCCATGGCCAGTTTGGACAGTACGTAGTCCGGTTTCAAAGAAAGCAAATGGAAAGCAATTTCTCAATCTTGCAACTAACGCACTAGTGTTAATTGAAGTATTATGATCATCCGGGTGGATGTAGTCCTGAGAAGGACTGTTTGATGTGACCGACGTTTCGACAATCTGAGCGGAAGTCATCTTCACTAGTGGCTACCGACCGGCTGCGATGTCTAATAAAATCTTTAAAACTGTCCATGGTTGTATAAAATGACGTTCTAAGTTTTTATATTTCTTTTGCTGATCGATGCAGGGCTATGGAAACTGTTCCTGTATCCCATCATCCATAGCAGGCAGTGGTCGCACGGTCACCAAGGGATTTTGTAACCACTCCTCCAGCTGTGTTTACTTGGTCCCCTTCATGCTCTTGTTGGGTTTTCATTTGTTCTTTGTGTTCTTGAGTGGTGTTCCAACTAAGATGGTACTTCTGAGGTGAGTAAGTAAATAGATGGATGAATGGATGGGAGGGAGGGAGGGGG